GAAAAGGGGTTACCAGGATACTTAAAAAAGGGATGGAAAGAAGAAAGATGGCAGAGGATGGCAAGATTCAGATTAGGAGAGGAAATGAAGGGAAATAGGTACTGGGAGAATGAGGAAAGAAGGTTATGTAGGGTATGTGGTAGGAGTGAGGAGACGTGGAAACCAGTGATGTTAGATCTGCTCCCTTTTCGGGCATGCGCAGTGCAATATGACATCAGTGAAGTAGTAACCTTTGATATATAAAGGTCCTGTGAAGGCCCTATTTTTATATGTCTATAAAAATTATAATTTTTGGATCCATAATGCACACCTAAATTGTAATAATATTAACTAAAATACTTATACCAACTTATCTTACCTTCATATTGGTTATAATCCTCTTCGCTGCGAGGTTTCCGCCGGCCGTCCCGCCAAAACAATAAGCTCCCACTTTCTGAGCATGTAGACGTTACTGGATTTCACTAGATCTGCACTGCGCATGCCCGAAAAGGGAGCAAATCTAACATCACTGGTGGAAACATGTTCTAGAGGAATGCACAGATTGGGGGAGGGAGAGAAATTGGAGGGAGATAGTAGAGGAAATGTTAGAGGGAGAAGGAGGGGGAGAAGAATGGATGAAGAGAATAGAGGAATGGAGGGGGGAGGGGATGAGGATAGACGAGGAAGAGAGTGTGAGAAGAGACGAGAATGGAAAATGCGGCGGAAACGGAGGTCCAAGAGGGATGAATGGAAGAGTGAATGAGGAGGAGTGAGAAGTCTCTCTCTCTCGCGAGCGTGCGAAAAAGCGAGCGAAGCGAAAGAAAGATTTTGTAAGCGGAGCGGAGGTCCGCATGTACCCCGCAAGGGAAATAAACTCATACATACATACATATTATATTATATAGATTTATAAAAATGACAATAATGTTATCATAGAATTGATTGAATATCATTTATTGAATTTTTAAATATATTAATATAATAATTAAATTAATATAGCTTATATGTTTTTAGATACGCTAAATAACCTAACGGCGTCCCCGTAGAGGGGGAATCCAAAAAAATATCTGTAGATATACATATATTAATATCTTATCACTTTTTTTGTAAATCTTAGCACAAAGTTTCAAATTTTACTAAAAAAACCTTACAAAATGCAGAAAAAATAGATAAGTAAAAAGTAGACAGACAGCAAAAAGTAAATAAACAATCGGTGGAATGCCTGTTTTAATAAAAAATTACCACGCTTACTTCATGTCACTAGTACCATTTTTTGTCTAATTATTTTCATTCCCAAGTCTCATTCTTAATTCGTTCATTATTCTCATTCTTTTGGTACTCGAATCTATACTTGGTGCTATGACATCAGGAACATTTTCATCATTAGGACAAACAATACAATAATATCCATCATGTCATTCTGCAGTATGCAGATGTTGTGTATTACACAACAAGCAATGATAAATTGCGGTATCTTGATGATATTGGTGAGGTAGACAATCAAGTAAAATTCTAAATCGCATTTTCAAAAGCCCAAAGGCTCTTTCAATGGCCATGCGAGTAGATGAGAGACAATAATTAAAATTCTTTTGCTTTACGGTAAGGTGTCCATTATCTCTAAATGGTACTATAACATGCGAATGCAATGTGTATGCTGAATCTCCAAGAAGGTGAGAATCTGAAGGGAAATACTCATATGGGTTCTCGATGAACTCAGCTATAGGAGAGTTTCTAAAAACTCGTGCATCATGTACAGAGCCTACATGCCCAGCATAGCAATGAGTAAATAGACTTCGAGCATTACACACAGCTTGGAGATGAATAGCATGATAATTTTTTCTACAGATGTAAGAAGCTGCATCTTTTTTAGGAGCTCGTATCTTTATAAAAGAACCGTCAATAGCCCCAATAACGCCTGGAAAACCCTTAACGTTTTTAAATTCTTCCATTACGCGAGTAGCTTCCTCTCCTTTTGGCCATTTTATAAAATGTGACGCTATGCAGTGGAGGGCATAAATGACACGTCTTACAGCACGGTGTGCTGTAGCTTTTCCCACACCAAATTTAACGCAGACAGACCTGTATAGACAATGATATTATAGAGTTAAGCCATGTTCATGCAGACTGTATCCATTTGATAATTAATCACATCTGACAACAGTGATAAACTTTAAGTGAAAATTCCATCCGTACTGTTACAATAATACTACTGACAATGAGTTACAATAATACAAGAAATCGGTACACAGCATGGACGGATATTTTATATATCACGAAACACACGAATTACGCATCGAGATTCATTAGATCGTGATTGACAGACTCTTGTCTATTTATAACAATAATACTATGCTGTTTCTTTTAATGGTTTTAACAGTCAAATATATACCGATATGAATCTGGAGTAGACATGAACCATAAGTTGCTTTTCTGCGGATATTTGTTTTCTTCCACAAGCATTTTTGACATTTAAAGCTGGTTTTAGAACCATCAAAACTAGTTCAAATGTCTCGGGAAATATCCTGCAACATAATCAAAATCAAGCATATGACAGATCTACATTTATCAGTCATTGACAGGAAATACATTTGCACAAACCTAAAATGTTCTTTAAAAGTTGTTCTAGAGTATCCTGGAACAACTCGTTCCACATAATCAGACAATTTTTCTGTCGGGAGAACTTCACCCCGTGCCTTATTTGCCATCATTATGAGGTACAATGTACGCATTTCGTTTTCTTCATCATAATCTTGACTGCTGCTACTAGATGAAGAGGTTTCATCGTAATAATCTTCAATTTGATTGATAAAAGAAGAGATCACAGAGATCACTTGACGTTCACTCGCCATGTCTGTTTTCGAACAACTAGAGCGCGCATAGATCCGTTCCGTTTGTCTATGCGCAGTAAGAACATGAGAAAAACGAAACGAGCCAATGCGCTCATGTGATGCGCTGTCCTCCATGCGCATCATGCGTAAAACGGAACGCACCCTAGGAAACAATTTCTGTAGCAGCAGGTGATTTTAATACACAAACTAACTGAGCGTAATGACAATGATACGCTAGTTAGGACCATGGAACAACAAGGTCAACTGTTGGAGAGATTGAGCACGCGGTCGAATGCGTCCGTGCGAGAGGCTCAAGTAAAATTACCATTAATCAAGCTGCCGACATTTGACGGAAATGTGGAGGATTGGAAGAGATACTCGGATACCTTTAAAACACTGATTCATGACAGTGAGCTGTCTGGGGTGCAGAAGCATCAGTATTTGGTCGGATCCCTGAGTGGTTCGGCAGCGAGAATGGTAAACCTTCGGAAAACCCACGCATATGAAATAAGGGATAACAACACTCAATTTCTATGTATTTTTGTGTTCTGAACATGAATATGTAACTTAAACATGGCGGTCGGAACAAGAAATCCATGAAAACCATGAAAAACCCATAAAAATTATGGTTTTTAACATTTATCCCACCAA